ATGAGTTTTCATATTAGTCAGACAGGATTAACATTTCAAATCTTAAGAAGGTTCAGTGCCAAGTTTCAGATTGACCGCATGTGTTAGTAGACTTGCGCTAACGTTTCGCTTTAACGAAAACCAACTTGAAAATTGAGTCAAACTATGGAAATAATAGAAATTAAGCTCTGAAATTATCTTAGAAGTTTCCGAGCAACTAGTATAATCTAACATGAAGAGGGTTTGGATTATTGGGTAATTCTGCCTTTATAACGAAAGATAAAAGAATAGAAATATGTACATTGTGAGCTATCACAAATTGGCGACATTCTCACAAAAAAATGACAAATTATCTTCTCGGTATTTTATGTGTAAAGAACTTAAATCTGATACATCCTTTTAAAGCGTGGATCATTTTTTTGAATACTAAAAATTGCTTTTCAGATCTCCATGAGGCCCGTTTCCGACGACGAGTCGGTGATTCTGATTGTCTCCCCAAAATTTGCCACAGTACATGATCATGTTTCCTTCCAATGGAGTTTGAAGATACACGGTACAACCGGAAGGGTATGCCATTTGAAGAGCTAAAACTGATCCAAAATCCTCGCAGCAGTTTGATGCTTTTGAAAAAAAAATCCCAATAAGTGATGATGTGTCGTAAATACAGAATTCCAGATAACTGCATCAGATGATGATATAGAAGAAGATGATGATCTTCCCTCGAATTACGTTGCCGTTGAGCTATACTTTGTTGATGGACCAGTTAGTCAGGTACACATAAGCAGTTTACAAGGAAAGGGTACCTGGTCGAAGTGACAGCTCAGGAAGCGATGCATACGATAGAGCAGTTTCAAACGCTGATTCTCAACCTATCTTCCTTGCGTGCGAAGCGTTCTTCTGGAAGAATTATGAGGACATACTTTCATTATTTCTTTGTTTCAGATACTGGCCATTCTTGATAAAGAAAAAGGTTCATTACTTCTTCCATAGAGGTGCTTCACAGATATGGAAGGCTGTTTTGGAATTAGCGTTTCAAGTTACATTTGATAGTATTAAACAGTTTAAAATTCCTTTTTGACCAAGTATCCTCTCCTCGTTAGTACAAAAAACTCTACTACCGACATAATTGTTGGAAGTTTTAAGTCATTAGTCAATTACGGTATGCGTAAATTTGCGGCAGCGTCTCCTCCAAGAAAAATTTTAAAATGAGTCCATTAAAGATATGTGCTAAGTTTCTAATGATTTTGACCTGCCTCTCTTGAGGAAGTAGTAATGCAACAACAAAAATTGAGAGAAACATCTATAATACCCCTGACGACACTGATTGGAGATGCAGTCTCCTAGGAATTAAGATGGCCGAAATTCTATTACAAAACTCAATTCAAAGGTCACCTCATGCGATTATTGCTAACTGTGTAAGGTATGATCAGCAAGGGAAGAATACTTATTACCCATCGGAACCCTTAAAATTAAGAGTCGTAAACTTGTGGCTTCAAACGCTGATTTCAAGTCTGTTTTCCGTATCTACTAAATGATTTTTTGAAAAAAATAAAAATTTCTTTCAGCGAAAGCTAGCGTGCATCACCTGCCATTAATTGCTTCAGAATCTAAAACTCACACAAAGGAGAAGCAAGCTCTATCTTCCAAGGTTTACTATAGCCAACTAAGCTTTCAGATTTTTGTTTAGATAAATTTCAAGGTGTTAGCAACAAATGGCACGTAGTGCGGCTACTTTTGCGTTAAGAAAGTTTTTAGCTTCACCGTTTAGCATATATGGAAGGCAGCTTTGAAATCAGCGCTCTGAGACGCAGCTACTGGTATTTCTCTTGTTTTGAAAGATTACCGCCAAACGTAAACCCTTATTTGTCAGAAAGGAGTAGAACACAGTTTAGAAAAGCGCCACAAATTGTTTCACATTAACAGGGAAATTTTATCAGTGATCGAATCGTAAATACATAAAGAATAGGATCGCAAAGTTGATGACCAATTTGTACATACCATGTAGTTACTGATTGTTGCGTGATCCATAATGTTTTTTGGGTTGAAAATAAATAACTTTTGTTAAAAGTCATCGTAATCAATATCTAGTATAAAGTATATTTCTCGGCTGTTCTCCTTCAGGTGGATCTTCGCGCTGTTGTTCGTGTAATGCAAAAGGATGCAATGGCCGAAAAACCGGAGATGGTTGAAGAACGTTAGTGTTCCTTTCGCATGTGCCTCTTCAATACAATGATGCTTGCCACTCAGGTAGTACGATATCGATGCAACGCGGGCGCTGTTGTGAAATAACTGACAAGGATCGTACTGAGGTTTCTGACTACCTCAAGGTATTGAACATCTCTGCAATGAGTTTAAACATTGCAAAATTCTCTAAAATTAGTTGCAATCCTTATTGCTTTAGGGAAATGTTGGGGGCGTTGTGAAGGTGTCAGTTCTGATTAAGATGGACGCAAAACTATTTGATCCGTATACATATCTAGACAAAGTCAGTCTCGTTGTTGTTCTTTAGATACTTCCAAACAATCATCATATCAGGTCTCCCCTACTCCTCACAAATCCTTTCTAACGACCAACTATAATGCGCGAGTGAATAGCAAAGTTTGGAGGAGACGATCGAGAAAGTGAGATTTTCACATCTTCTTGAGAAACATACAAGTCTCATCCAATTACAGGAAATCGGTTAAAGAAGATAACGGAAAAGTCAGCAAAAAAGACAAGAGCGATATTGAGTTGAAATTTGCGGAAGTGTTGGAACAGGAACGAAAAGTACACCAATTTACTGCATGCAAAATCTGTCGCTGTAAAATTTGCATTTTACAGTTGGCTCAAGACCCTAACCGTCTACGCGTATCTGCGCCATCATCGAGACGAGGATCTACGCAGACTTTGTTGAGCAATCATCATATCCCGGATCACGAGCATCTTTTCAAAAAGGTTTTTAAGCGTTTGGCTTTTCAATCACATCTCATTGAAATGCTTGGAAAGGATCTCACTTCTGATT